AAAAAAAAAAAAAAAAAAAAAAAACTTCCATTACTTACCTTTGAAATTGTGTACTTTTTTTTACAAAAATGTGATTTTGTTTTGTTTTTGTGGTACTGGGGATTGAATTCTAGACCTTTTCACTGAGCTACATCCAGCCCTTCTTTTAAGTCACTGAGTTGTCCAGGCAAGACTTGAATTTGTAGTCTTCCTACCTCAGCCTCTCAGAGTACAGGGATTATAGGTATGCACCTTCATGCCTGGCTTATGTTTATTAGGTTTTTTTTGTTTTTTGTTTTTTTGTCTTCTTGAGACAGGGTCTCACTGTGTAGTTCAGGTTGGCCTTCAACTCACTTTATAGCCCAGGCTGGCCTCGAACTCGCAGGAGTCCTCCTGCTTCAGCCTCTCAAGTGCTGGGATTACAGGTGTGTGCCACCATGCCTAGCCCATTTATTAGTTTTTAAATTAACTGTTTTTTAGGGTTTTAAATTTTTTTTTTTTAGGGTTTTAATTTTTGATGGAAACAAATTTACACCTTTTTCCCTGTCTTTCCAGCTTACGTTTTCTGGCTTTTTATGATTTATGTACTTGTTTGTTTTCTGGTACTGGGGACTGAACCCAGGGAGCACTGAGCTACAGCCCCAGCCCTTTTTTATTTTGGGGACAGGGTCTCACTAAGTTGCCTACACTGGCCTTGAACTTATGATCTTCCTGTCTCAGCCTTTTGAATGATATTTCTTGTTCAAGAATATCTTCCTTATCAAAACTTATAAACACGTTGACCAGTATTTTCCATGTTATTTTTGTACGTTGTTTTGTTCGTTTCTTTGTGGTTTTTTTGGTTTATTTGTTTAGCTTTTTTGCATTTCTGGAGATGGAACCGAGGGCTTTTGCCTCGAGCTACATTCCCAGTCCGTTTTTTGAGACAGGGTCTTGCTAAACTGCCAAATTGCCTAGGCTGGGATTGGATTTGTGATCCTCCTGCCTCAACTGAGAGTTTTGGGATTACAGGTATAAGCCACCATAGTTGGCTTTTTTCATTTTTAACTAACACATAGTAATTGAACATATTAGGGCCGGGGATATGGCTCAGTGGTACAGCACCCACCTGGCAAATGCAAGGTCCTGAGCTTGATTCCTGGTACAAAAAATAATAATAATTGTACATGTTTATGGAATACAGTGTGAGATTTTGATACATGTGCACAAATGTATAATGATCAAATGGGTAATTATTGTACCACACCTATCATGTTAACCATGAATTATGTCTTTCTGGAGAAACATTCAGAATCTCTTCTAGCAGTTTTGACACATATACTAAATTATTATTAGTTATAGACACCTTACTTGGTAAATAGGACACTAGAATTTATTCCTCCTATCTAATTTGTTGTTGTTTTTGAGACAGGGCCTCTCTATGCAATTCAGGCTGGCCTTGAACTCACTTTGTAGCCCAGGCTGGCTCTGAACTTACAGTGATCCTCCTGCCTCAGCCGTCTGAGTGCCGGGATTACAGGCGTGCGCCACTATGCCCTGTTTTTGTTTTTTGAGACATGTCATCCAGGCTTGCCTC